TTAAATAATCGAATATACTTTTTCTCTCTAAAAAGATTGGTAATTTTAAATTTAATTTGTTTTATTTTGTTTTATTGTTATTTATGCATTTAAATTTGGAATTGATGATGAATTTATGAATGAAATTGTAATATTTCTTTATTTCGATTAGAGTAAGAAATGACGGCTTTAAGGCATGATAGGTTGTTTATTCGCAATAAAAAATTATTAAATATTGTCTTTTTTCGTACTAAAATTCAATGAATGTGCTTAAAAAAGATCCTTAAATTTATTTTATTTTATTGTTATTTACGCATTTGATTGTGGAATTAATAATGAGCTTTAGAATGGAATTATAATATTTATTTATTTATTTCGATTGGAGTATGAATTGAGTGCTCTAAGGCATAAGAAGTTGATTCTTCTCGATAGGAAATAAAAATTAAATATTATTGTGTTTCGTCCTAAAATTCAAAGAATACCATTTAAAGGGATTTGAAATTAAATTAAATTCAAACTCGTAAATTTCATTGCAAAGACAACTAGTTAATCGACTTGATACTGATTTAGCGCTCTGTGGGGGTGTTAATCCTTCCCCACGCATAACCGACTCCTGAACACAAATTTTGGTAACGTAGACCACAAAATTATTGTTTTAATTAAAATTAATATTTTTATTAAAATAATAAGTATATTTTTGGGTGCCCAATCACACTCTAATCAAATATTAGTGACAACTCCTTGAACCATGCTTTATGTTGATTTTTAAAAGGAGACCCCAAATTAATCAAGACAATATTTTTTATTTTTTTTAAAGTTTAAGGGCTTATTTGATTTTTTTTTAAATAAAAAAAATTAAATTCAAAATATAAAAAAATAAATTTAAAAAACCAAAAAAAAAATTAAATTATTGAAATAAATAAATATATATTATTTTGTTTTAAAAATAAAATAAAACTCATGTCAAAATTTGCCTTTAAATTCTAATGTGAATTTTATTTTATTGAGACATATTTTATATTTGTTGATTTTTTTTATAAAAAAGTAAATATTTGAGTGACAAAAAAACCTCGAACACATGAAATTCATATATACATTAACTTTATAGAGTTGTATCTAATAAAAATTAGTGGGGTAAATTGATATTCCCACTTTTCATAAGATCTAAGTTTAGGTGAAGTTTACTTCCATATATCATTTTATATTCACTAAAAATATTCCTTTTAATTAGGGGTGTTCATTCGGTTAAAACCGAACCGAAATACCCTAAATCGAATTAACCAAAAAAATTTAGAATTTTCGAATTTAATATTTTTTTTAATTAAAAAAAAATTTATAATATCTAATTAATTTGATTCAAACATTATATTAAAATAAGATATTTGTATCTATCAATTTAGTTCAAACAAACCAACAAATTTGAAATTCTACAAAATAAATGGTGCATGAAGATAGCTACTATTGCTAGGTGAAATGCTTGATTTTTCTGATGCTACAATCAGGAAGATAGCTAGCTCCTTTACGTAGGACTTACAGCACATGCCTCTTGAACATGAAGTGGATGAAGAAGGCAAGAAAATTGTGATCGGAGATGGCATAAACCTGGGTTTTGCGATTGATAAAAAAACTCAAACCAAAACACATAAAAGTTCCCAAGATTTGACTCTGTAATTCAAGCAAAGTATGAACAAAAAGGCTATTTCTCCCAAGAGAGAGTAAAAATAAAGAGTTTCAAAATGAAGATAGATATAGAAGCAAACAAAAGCACCGGGACAGAATTGTTTCATTACCAAAATTAAATGATTAAAAAATATACATATCCCATTAATTTGTATTATTAAACATGGTATGATGGGTTTTATAATTTTTTAACCTACATTTAAAATTTTAAATAGTAATGAAGTATATATATATATATATATATAAACAAGTACTTCATCCACTCATAAAGATATGTAATTTTATATAAACACTTGATGAATTATATAATAAATACTTGCTCGCATGTATATCTTATATAAAAGAATATTTTAAGTAGTACCAGTTTGAAGGAAACCCTGAATAGAGAATTAGAAAAGGAGAGAGTGGAGGGTAGTGTATTGCTCATGTAGAGTCATGTTCCACGCCTCCACCCATCTCGTGCTCATAGCCCCATACCTTACACAAATCAAGGTAAAAAAATTGATAATCGAGGAGCAATTAAAGAAAGTGGGGGACAACATATTATGGGATGAAAAAAAATATTAATAAATATTTAAGGGTTAATTCGGTTAATTAACTGATTTCAAACCGAATTAACCGTTAACTGAATTCTAAACATTTTCTTAACTGTTAACCGACCGAACTAATTCGGTGGCCGACCGAATTAGTTCAAAATTTGAACACCCCTACTTTTAATTGGATAACTATTTTTTAAATTATATAGTTTCATGATAATTTATAAACAAATTTTACTTTCATATTTTTTAATTTTATTTTAAGATTTTATAATACTTATTTAATTTATTTTTATAAAATTTAGGGAAATAGAGTTTAAAAATATTCTTAGAATTTAATATAATTGAATGTAAATATATAAAATAAAATTTGTATAGGAAGAACAAATTTATATTTATATAAATAAAATTCAAGTTAAATTCGAGTTAAAAAAAGCAATCATATATATTTTTTATTTTTTGTATTATTATATTTAAGTTTTTTTAAATTTTTAAATTTTGATTTTAAAATATTTTGATTTAAAAAAAATCAAATAATCCTTTAAACTTTTAAAAATCAATTTGGTCTTCGATCTTAAAAAAAAATTAATTTAGCCACTTACCACATTGTTTGTTTTTATAAATACAAGTACACTTTTTAAGGCATTTTTACCCAACAATCACCTTAAAAATAATTTTTTTGATTAGTCATTCTTTTCCAAATATTTCTCAATCTAACACCATTTTTTAAGAGATAGAAGATTTCCCCTTGAAGGCGCATCCCTGGAGAGAGCTTTACCCAGTTTTGGATTCTCTGGAAGACGCATCCCATGGTTTTCAGAACTGGACCGGTTAGCGAACCGATCATGCTATCGGTTCACTGGTTCAACCGGCCCGACCGGTCGGAAGAACCGGACGACGTCATAATTATTTAAAAAATTAAATAAAAATACCAAAAATATTTAATAAAAAATAATTTTGTATATCACAAGTCATATTCAAAGCAAGTCATAACATATATGAGTTAAAAACCATAAAATCAAGTGAAACAAAATGATTCAAATTAACTACAACATAATATTTAAGGTAAAACATATTAAATAATAAATATAATTATATAACTATAATTTAAAAATAAATTTGGGGCTAAAAAAATCATAATAAAATGATATTGTTTGGTTTAATTTAAAAAAAAAAACAATCTCACATGGCTAAGAAACATAGAACAACATCCCAAAAGTCTAAAGAGTAAAAGTATGAGAACAAAACAATCCAACATGACTAAGAAATATAGAAGAGCATCCCAGCTAACTTCTATAAATAATAGAGGTAATTTGACAATCAAAATCATAGAGACTTTTGGTGAGCATAGAGTGAACTATTCTTTCACTTCAATCAAGTTCGAATTTTAGGCTTCAATCGAGCTTCTAATTTTTTTGAGTTCAAGCCTTTTCGAGTTCAAGTTTCAATATTATATTTCGAGTTCGAGTTGAACTTGATAATTTTTAGTTCGTGAGTTTGAGTCGAGTTGAGCTTACTTTTAAAGTTTGAGTCGAGTTGAGCTTACTTTTAAAGTTTGAGTCGAGCTCAACAATACTCGAGTTTGACTTGGCTCGTTTAACAAACGACGTCGTTTGGTTTAATTTTTAAAAAAAAAAAACAAAATTGGCGGTTTTTTCCAGTTTTCAGCCGGTCCGGTTCGAACGGTTCTGGCCGGTTCACTAGTAGCAGTTCAACCGGTTTAGTTTGAACCGGACTAGGCAACGGTTCCCTGTTGAATCGGTCAGTCCGGTCCGGTCCGGTTTTCAAAACAATGATGCATCCCCTGGGATGCGCCTTCCCCATTTTTATTATTTCATTAATTAATTTTTTTATTCAATAAATTTTTTATTATTTTTGTTTAATTAATTTTTTGTATTCAATACTTTTTTATTTAATTTTAAATTTATTTAGTTTATATTTATTATTCGCGGTTAAAAAATGGAAGGTGAGATGTTGCGATTGGATACTGATCATATATCGAGTCATTTTACTAACCCGGTAAAAAAATGAAACTATCTTCTTTTAAATTTTTAAATATTAGAAAATCGATCATATATTATTTAAATTGTTAGAATTTATTTATTAGAAGATATCTGATTACTCATTTACCAGAAAACTGATGTAGAGGTGCATACATTTTTTAATTTTAATTTTAATTTTTTATTTAATTATCTTTATATAATTAAAATAATAAAAAATTTATTTAATAAAATATTAATTAATAAAATATTTTAAAAAAATTAAGAATGCGCGTCCAAGGGGATGCGTCTCTCAGGGAATCCAAAACCTGGCAAAGCTCTCCCTAAGAGATGTGCCTTCAAGGAGAAATCTGATAATTATATTCTCTTTTCTTAAGAAGTTTTTCACCAAACGCGCTTATTTCTTTCTACTTTAAAATAGTATTAGATTGAGAAATATTTAAAAATTAATAACCGGTCGAAAATATTTTATTTTTAAGGGTGATTTTGGGGGGAAAAAGTTTTTTTTTATTTTAAAAATCTCTTTGAGAATTTCGGGGTTTGTTGGTATGTGAGATTGAATGGATTTGGTTGGCATTTAGTTGTGATGGTATGCTTGATAACACTTCCTCTCTCCCGTTCCTTTTACCTTTGTCTCTCCCACATTTTGCTAAGCTTTTCTTTCAATAACTAGTTTTAGATTTCAACTCTGAACTCTCAACATTTTCTTTCTCTCTTTTCTGATTTTGAGGAACTTGACCAAGTTTTTGACTGCAGCAAAGGGATATTATCATGCATAGATGGTGGTCAACTTAAACATAAATTTCTGATGATCTTTTAACAGTGTTGCCATTACATGCACTTGTTGACGATGGCCGAACAAGGCTGCAACAACGTCTTTACGAGGGAATACAGGAAAGGGAACTGGACTGTCAACGAAATGCTGGTGTTGATCGAGGCGAAGGAGATGTATTACGAGAGGAGGATGAAGAGCGACGGAAGAGGCAACAAACCGACGGAGCTGAGATGGAAATGGGTGGAAGATTATTGCTGGAAAAGGGATTGTTCGAGGAGCCAAAACCAGTGCAACGATAAGTGGGATAATCTCATGCGCGACTACAAAGAAGGTGAGGGAGTACCAGAGTAGAATTGCCGCTGATGGCAAGCAAGGAGGAGGGAGATCATACTGGGAGATGGAGAAGAACCAAAGGAAAGACAACAACTTGCCTACTAACATGTTGTGCCAGATGTATGAGCGTTTAGAACAGGTGGTGGAGAAGAAAATAGCTCGAACGGTTGTGGCAGGCGGCGGCAGCGGTGATGGTTCAGACCCCAATGTTCCCAACTTACGTTTTGTTATGGATACACCGATGACTAGTACTCTTCAGCCTTCATTACCTCTTTTGCAACAACATCGACTACTCCAAGTTCCTATACCTGCTGCAGTTCCATTCCCTCCACCACCACCACTGCCTTCAACGGCGGCTCCAGTTTCATATGTTCAACCACTGCCCACCGTAGGTAGGTACACTCTCTTTCTCTTTCCCTTGGCCTTGGTCGCATACCATTGAAACCTACGTTCCATATTTTTTATGTATTGGAGATGTGTGATGATATAGTTCAGATTCTGATACGAGCGAGTATTCAGACTCACCAGCAAAGAGAAGGAGAAGAGGAGGAGGTAATGGTGAAGGCACCACTAGTGACGGCATCTCCGACGAAGTGAGCACGGCTATCTCCAAAAGCGCTTCCATTATAGGAGAAGCCAACCATGCCAGTGAAGAAAGAGAGGAGATTCGACATAGAGATCTCCAAAACTTCCATGAAAGAAGACTAAAGCTCGAAGAATCCAAGACCGAGATCAACAAAAAAAAGAATGGACGACCTGGTCGATGCCATTAACAAGCTTGATAATTCCATCCTTGCTTTAGCTTCCCACAAGAGCCAGTCATCAGCTCCAAAATGAGATTAATTAATCACATTGGTAGTTGCATATAGTGATTGATCATTCTAATTGCCTGTATCTTTGATTACCAGTGTTTAAACACAAACTTTTTCCAATGGTGTACCACTCATGGAGTGTGAACCTCACATGCCATGGTTAGGGAAGTGGGAATGGTTGGGGGCTAGCAGCTTATCTCATCATTTTTGAGGTGGAGATTTATCGACACCAATTTTCTTTAATATTCTCTTTCTGACATCGTTTGACCAATATTTCCTGAAGTAGTACTCTTTCTGTTGAGTTGGCAAAAGCGTGTCCCCGAGGACGCGCTTTACCCGTGTTTTCGCTGAGTTGGATGTCACGTGTGGAAGGCGCATCCCCGGGGACGCGCCTTTCGCCAGCTCGACTGCCACGTATTTTGTTTAATAATAAATATTTTATTTTTATTATTATTATAAATTAATAATATATTATGTAAAATGTTTCGATTATAATGTAAGAATTATCAAATGTATTTTGTTAATGTGTGTTAAAGGTGGAGTGAATTATCTACATTAATATGATATAACAATATATGAAAACCAGTTTTGACTTTTATTGTAGTTATAGGAAAAATGTATGAAATTATAATATTACACATATGGTTATATTATTATTTTTGATTTTGATTATCGATCTATTAATTTTATCAGTTAATTATTTAAATGTTATCAATCTAGTCATCTCATATCAATATTTAACGAAAATATTGATGCATAAGTTAATAAATTAGTATATTACATATTTAATCTTCAAGACTTACATATTTTATAAAATTAGTCTTATTAAAAATTTAATTTAATAAATTTAATCCTCCAATCAGAACATGAAATGTGTCATCGTATACATAAATTTTTTAATAACTTTTAATTTGTTTAATTTAATATTTTTCTCTACTTAGAAGGTGGAATTATTATTATATTTAAAAAATTATAACTAATATATTAATTATTATATTAAATAAATATATTAAATATATTTATGTATTTAAAAGTTAAAAAAATTATTTAGGTGTACATACATTGACAAATTATATAAATGCAATAACATTAAATTATTAGAAACAAAAACATTCATTTAAATACAATATTAATTACATAAGAGTTAACGGTTATATGATGATAACAGAGCTGGACATTTTTTTCTATTGTGCCTGATGTTTCTACAATGCCCACATCGTTTTTGTTCTGTTGACTTCTCCCGAATATCCATATCACAATGTATTCTAGTAGATTTTGGACGACCTGAGTCCCTCAATAGCAATGGATCTGGTACAATTGTAAGCCAAGTTTGAATCTCATTTGGGTCTCTTTCGTTTCCTATGGGCGGAAACTCAAATTCATATACCTTGAATACTTGTGAAAGTTGGTATACTGGATCAACATAATTTTTGTAGTCCAAATGCGAATGTGAGCAAGCAGCAATGACATGAGAGCATGGATATTTGAGTGCTTGAAAGAAACCACAATCGCACCACCTCTCTTGCAGATTAACTCTGAAAGAGTTAGCTTCAATCCCTTGCAGCGGACGTGGCATTTCGGTTACACGAAACAATTCACGGGTGCGAGAAAAATTTGTAACTAACATCTCATTTGATGCAGCCACTTTTTTCTGTAAATCAACTACTAGTCTTGGGTGGTAAATATGTCCGTTTTGCATCCAAGTAAGAGCTTGTCCACCGAGCTTTGCAAAGAGTTGACCCAAACGAAAATAAGTCGTTTTAACCAACGCCATGACTGGTAAATGACGCGCCCCCTTTAAGGTTGAATTTATTGCTTCAGCCAAGTTTGTTGTCATATGACCATAGTGATACCCCCCGTCATATGCATTTGTCCACATTTCTTTGCTGATGTCCATAATGTACTCGCACCCCTTCTTATTTTTGCCAAACAGCTCTTGTAGCATCGACTCAAACCTTTGAGGTAAGAGTTTGTAACCTAAGCCATTAGGAATATGTAATAGTTAATATGAAGTATAAATAAGTAATAAGAAATTGATAGAAAAATTGGGAAAAAGTAACATACTCATCCGCACGACTAACTGACGTTCATCGTTCTTCTTGTATTTTCCGTAATAGTTTGCAGCAATATGACGGACACAATAACGATGTTGAACATGTGGAGGTCTATACATTGTACCCAAAGAGTCCATTGCTGCTTTTATCCCGGCTCCTCGGTCTGAAATAATGCATACCCGTTCCCTGGTGACAACATGTAAACGTAAATTTTTAAGGAAAAAAGCCCAAGACTCAGTGTCTTCTCCTTGAACAAGGGCAAACGCAACAGGAAGAATATTGTGGTTTCCATCTTGGACCACAGCCAATAATAAAACTTGCTTGTATTTCCCATACAAGAAAGTACCATCAATTTGGACAACTGGTTAGTACTTGACTGCATTAATACACTGAGGGTAAGTCCAAAAGACACGGTAAAATTGGCAGCGATCGCGAACCATTCGATCATTCACGTAATGATGTTGAGTTTCGAACTCAACAATTGTCCCGGGATTAAGTCTTTGCACAACATGAAACCAACTGGGCAGCTCGTTGTAAGAGGAATCCCATTCGCCATGAAGTTTACAAATGGCATTATGTTTTGCCAACCACGCTTTTTTATATGAGACAGTGTACCCATATTGTGACTGTATAGCAGAAATCAACACTGCAACAGCTATATGAGAGCTTTGCTTCATAATTGGCATGATTGCTTGACAAATAATGTTGGAGTCCAAGTTGGGATGATCCTGGTTTATACCTGTTGCACAACATGTATGAGGACCGTTGTATCTGGTTAGTTCCCATAAGTTGTTCTTCCTCTTCCTCTTTGATACACGGACCATCCATTGACATCCGTTGTCACGTTGGACGCAGTAGCAGACATATTTCTCCGTGTTAGATCGATCAACTCGGGACTGAACTGAGTTACGAATATTGTAACTCTTTATTGCCATCATTGCTTCCTCCTTCGATGTGAACTCCATTCCAATATGTAAATTACGTCATTAACTGATGATTGAAGTCCATAGTTGCCAACATCAGGAAGATCTAGAAATTCAGGCTCATACATTGCATCATAATCAGCCTCATACATATGTGCAGGAAGTTCGGCTGGTGTTGTATTTATCGGAACGTCATCCTCATCATCATCAGAATGTACGTTAAACTATGGTGAGTCAGGTTCAACGAATAATCCCATTTCAGCACCATCTGCACCTGGCTCCCGAAGAGGTTCTTCTAGTGGAGATGAGGGTTCCTCCGATAATCCAATGTTGAGGTCAAATAAGTTCCCGCTTGCGTGTCCTCCCCTTGAACTTGAGGCCATTGTATCATGTGGGATGTGAATAGACTGTCGTCTCGTTGGCATTTCCATATGTAAGTCAAAAACATTGGCAGATGAATATCTGCCCCTTGAAGTAGAAGAGATGTTGCCATATGGATTATTGGTGAAGTCACGTGGGTTGAGATCATAAGCAGTTGCAGATGAATGCCTTCCTATTGAACTTGATGGCATGGTATCTGGCGTTGGATCCGCCATTAATGATGTGAAATCATTACAGATCAGTTGTGTCGGGCTATCAACTTGATCAGTTTGATATGCAATGCCAAAGTGAGAGGAATATGAGAGACCACGAGTTGCACGAACCTCAATAAAAGTGGCATACATTTCAATAAGAGATTGTGAACTCCCCATATGAGCATCAACCATCATAGAAACATCATCATCGTTTGAAAGCTGAAATGATGTATACGTGAGCGGAAAAAGTTCAGTAGGAAATCTGTACTGAAGTGAAGATAGTCTTCTCTGGCCTGCTACACGAATCTTTAACGAAATATTTGTGATTAACTCCTCAATTGTGATGTTTCTCTTCAAGGTTAAGGGGATATAATGATCTGACTCAAAAATAACCCCCTCTTCAGCTTCTTTAATTAGTCCATCATACAAAACAACAGCAGAAAGACGACTCATTTTCAGAGAATTTGAGAATTTAGAGTTTGGGAATTTGAGAATTTGAAAGTTTGTGAACTGAAGTTTGTTTTGAAAGTTTATAATATGTTGCATATAATAGTGTCTATAATCGGAGTACTATTCACATGAAGGCGCGTTCCCGGGGGCGCGCCTTCCATTATTTCAGAGAATATGTTATCATTGCCCTATTATGTCACTCATGTCCCTCGGGGACACTAGATATATCAGTACCTATTATTTCACTATTCACATGAAGGCGCGTTCCCGGGGGTGCGCCTTCCATTATTTTGTCATAGAATATATTATCATTGCCCTATTATGTCACTCATGTCCCTCGGGGACACTAGATATATCAGTACCTATTATTTCACTATTCACATGAAGGCGCGTTCCCGGGGGCACGCCTTCCATTATTTTGTCATAGAATATGTTATCATTGCCCTATTATGTCACTCATGTCCCTCGGGGACACTAGATATATCAGTACCTATTATTTCACTATTCACATGAAGGCGTGTTCCCGGGGGCGCGCCTTCCATTATTTTGTCAGAGAATATGTTATCATTGCCCTATTATGTCACTCATGTCCCTCGGGGATACTAGATATATCAGTAAATCAGGTAAATTATAACCAAAATTTAACTTCTTTTGAAAGTTCAGCAAGTTAAGAATAACTTAAATTAAAACGTTATGTGAAGTTTGAATAAATTAGATAAAATGTTATGGATAAATTGAATAAATGTGAAGTGATAAGTTGATTGTGACATTGAAATTGTATGGAATGAGCATTGAAATGTGACATTGAATAAATTGCCAATTCACCCCCCTCTTGGCCGATTCCGTCGATCGATTAACTCAACATAAGTTGATTTTAATGTATACGTTTTAATATATATGTTAATGATAAAATCATATGTATGGATAAATTTAATTTCAATTTAAGTATTGTGAACTATAATTGGAATATAACTTTTAATTTCGAATACAATTGGAATATTAAGTTGAAATTTAATGTTAAATTTCGAATACTATAATTTATATTTTAAA